GCTTACAAGTTGCAAAGGAAACACGGAAGCAGGGAAGCGGCTGCCCAGCTCTGGAGCTCCACACCATTTTTTTTTTCAGAGGGAACCTCACTCGAGTATAAGCCAAGGGGGTTTTTTTCAGCACAAAAAATGTGCTGAAAAACTCGACTTATACTCGAGTATATACGGTATATCTCTACTTGGCTGAAACTAGTTTTTTCCCCAATGGACCTAGGTCCTTTGATCCTGACTGATAAATCTGGATGCACTTGGCTAAGATTAATTTATCAAAATTCATGGCTTTTCAAAGGATGGTGTGAGTTTAAGCCTTAAACAAACAATTACGGATGCAGAAAGATAATTACATTTGTCAGCCTTTTCCTTTTTAAACCAGCAAGATATTAAAACTAAATATTCATCTTTAAATTTAGAAGAGCCTAAACCTTAGCATGTTTTAAACATTTCCAGCAACTATTCCTGTAGGAAAGTTTGGAGAAATCCCATATCTTTAGGACTCTGTCCTTGTGACAAAGAGGCAGTTGAAAATACAATTGATGCATTGATGCACTTATAGAAAACATGGGTCCAGGTCTTCTATTCCTCTTTTTAAATAAACTTCTGGCTCACTCAGATTTATTTTATGGAGAATTGTTATAATCATTCAGTTTCATTACAGTTCACCAATATGATTCAGTTTCTTTGAATGTGGCAAAAATACTTTTTGTAAAACCAATTGTAATTAGTCATCATTTCTACCTTTTTAAAATGGAATTCTGGTCATTGGCCATAATAAAGACAGTGACTAACAAGTAGTTTTTTTCTTCTAAAGAAGGTGCATAAACCCCAGGTTTCATTCAGGACCTTTTCTGATCCTTTTCTCTTGGAAGAAACACCATCTTCCCCATTCCTGTAAAAATTCTGCAATAACTGAAAAGTGAGTTAATATAAACAGCAGAACTCCAATACCCTTGACTGTTAGGCGGCTCTTTCAAGTCCTCTGTTAGCCAAAGCCAGCTCTCAGGAAAATCAGACCTGGATATGATGTTGTCCTCTCCAAAGAATTCATCTTCAAAATCACCTGGAAAACAGAAAGGGAGTTGGTGTAAGGTGCTCTTTTTTTTAACAATACTTGATTAAATAAGCCCCAGTTAACTAGACAGCTATTTTCAAAAATAGTAGGCATCTCTGTGTTTTTGTTAATCAAAGTATACTTTCCCTCACTTGTTATCTACCATAAAGTACTGACATGCAAACTGGCATTCTTTCAATGGTTCAATTTCTTTCTTGAAAACTCAAGCTATTCAGAATGAGGCACTCTGTAGGTCAACAGCTACTGTTTCCAGCACATACAGTATTAGATGTACTAGCAAAGACATGATGAGAATTAATAATTGTTTCTGTAACATATATACATAAAATAAAATTAAGAAATAATGAATTTTCAGTCAGACATGGAAAGCAAAAATTAAAAAAACAATTATCTATCAGGGCAAGGAAAATCAGGGCCATATTTGTTTCTAATCCTCTCCCAGTCTTGTTGACACTTCAAAGTGCAGCTCTCTCACAACAATGCTTATTTATTCTCTTTTCTTCAGGAGGGTTCACACCAGAGGTGGGATACACTTTTGTTGACAAGGGGTTCGCTGGTTGTGAGCATGCACGCGGACTGGTTCACATGTATTTTGCACATTAAAAAAGGCATTCAACCACCCTACTATGGTTGCCATCTTGACCATTTTTAGCTCAGCCTTTTTAAAAAAACCTTTTCAAATTCCATTTTTTTTAAAATTAAGGTTTTAATTTATAGTTCACTGTTCCAACTAGAGTAAAATTGAAGCAGTCTACCATTAAACCAGCACCAAAGAAAGATCTGTACTTTCACCATTTTCACTCAACAAGCCCTCCAAATCATTTCTCACAACAGTTTTCTTCAACCACTGAGACCTCCCCGAAAGCTGCTGGTGCTTTAGCTGAACCAAAAGGTCACCAATATTTTAAAAAATGTGGTGGGTTGCTTTGAGAGGAAGCAGCAGATTCTTGGGTCTGCTTTAATTAAAAACAGTGATGTAATGAGAATATGCCTGCATGCTGCGTAGACCTAACTTTGATGGGGACTGAGAGAACCCAGGGACTGGGAGACTGGATGTGATGTGAATCCCATGAGTGAGGCCTCACTCAGCCCAACTTCTAATGTTCCTCCTGCATTTACAGAGCTGTATTTTGCACTAAAACTCGGCTATAAATTAGCAACAATGACATATAAATACCTAATAATAATAACAATATGCTCCAAATGGATTTCCAAGCCTTGGTGATGCTGTTATGGGCCACATTTTCCAGGTATAGTGAATTGAATGTTCCTTTCTTTCAATAAACCCAGAACCTGCTACTTACTTCTTGCCAGAAACAACTCGCTCTCCCGTTGGTTTTCATCTCGGATCCCTTTGATGTAGCGACAGCATTCAAGGAAGGCAGTCTTACAAGCATCTCCCTCCTGGATGTATTTTGCACGCTTTTCACAAGTGTACCCCATGGGGTTCTCATGCATACCATCTTCACAGCATTTACGCAGGTTTTGATCCTGAAACTGTGCCGCTAAAATATGGAAAATGCGTGAAACATGAGAGAATCCTATTTCTCATAGTCATGTGCATAAAGGGAAACAAGAGACAATGAGTATCTACATAAACCAATCAAATGTGTCAGTTGTTTATCTTGTCCCAGACAGCCGGAAGGGACAGCTGAACATCCTTTGACTTCTCACTACTGTAGTTACTAGAGACTGTCATTTTCATAAGATTGCTTTATGTCTTATTGTTGCATATTGCAATTTTGCCAGAACATTCAAACTAATCTTCTGAATTTGAAAATCAATCAAATGTTGCAGTGTATCTCTACCCCTAAAATGGCGCATTCTAGTTACCATCTGCTAACAGGAGCCTTGAGTAAGCCATCACCAGCTCCTGGAAAAAACATGGGCTTTAAATCACATAAAGGCCTTTTTCTTTAGTTTTCCCTCTTCTTTCAACCAAGCCATCCCACAACCTTGCATACAATTCCTGAGTATGTGCCTTGTGGAGGTCCCTTGGGCAGGGGAAGGGATGGGTGTGTGCTTGAGGAAGATAATGGCCCCAGTCCAGCCACCAATTCATTTCTAGCTGAGAGGGATGGCCAGCTTCTCATGGCACTGGTTGTCCTGCACTGACCCTGGGCAACATCTTCCAGGCTCAGAATGGCCTTTGAATGGCATGCAGGGAGTGGGCGCCACATGCTCCTAAAAGCTACTGGGAAACCCAAGGAGAAACCCAGTTCGTTTCACTTCGATTGTATTTCAATGTAATTAAAATTAAAAACAGTTAATACAATTATTCTTCAACAAAACTCTCCCCCATGCATAACAGCTAAAAGTCATAATAGGAGAAGAACTTTTGGAGGCTTTCAGTGTTTAACCCCAAGGCTTCTGTGGACGGAATGCGTCTGAAGGCTTCCAGTTCAAAACCTGCATGCGGACAATTTCTTTGCCCACTAAATTCTGGCCCCAGGAACAGGAGGTTAACTGATCTCTCTAGGTATGGCCATTTTAGTTTACTTTGTACTGTTTATTATTTTTTGAAATAAAGCAAATAATTATATCACCAGTACAGGGGAGGCAGAATTTTTTAAAGTTTTGAATGTGGGTTTTTTTAGTTACGTTGATAAATCAATAATCACTATTTTTAAGCTTAATAGAGGGTTAAACACATTTATTCTTAGCTTTCTCCTGAAATAATTTCAGGGTATTTTGCTGTTATTCTGTCCTGGAGATTCATTCTCTTCTGTTCTGTTCTGTTCTGTTCTGCTCTGCTCTGCTCTGCTCTGCTCTGCTCTGCTCTGCTCTGCTC